CGTGTATGGGTATGTGTACATACGTGTATGTATATATATATATATATGCGCATACACGGTTTGTTTTACGAGTACGTATATATTCATGACCACAGTTTGTATGGAGTTGTTTGTTTGTTTGTTAATGACGAAAATGTAAGATAATGTGTATGTATATGCAAATGTATGTATATTTATACGTAAACATCTATATGTTTGTGTATATGTATATGTACATGTGCACAATTTATGCACATACAGATATCTACACCGGTTCCGTATCCCGGCGCTACAAAGCTCTCTTCTTGCAATCCCCGGAGCACCAGGCAGCTAGGAACAAACATGCCAGTCCGGGGCTAACCGGGTCCTTTCCATTATGGAACCGGGTCCTACGACTTATGTTGTTGATGTGACATGGAATGTAGCAAGACATGTGTGTTCTTGTGACTCAATGGAAGACATGCTGGACATGTGAAAACTTGTGCTCTTGCGGCTCAGTGGAAAAACAAAACCTGAAAACTTGGTCTCTTCCAAATGAAGATGCATACCTGAAAGACTGTGTTCTTGTGGGTCTATATGGAAGAAGCGAGATGCTGGACATGTACAAAAAGATGTGTGCTTGTGGCTCGATAGAAAAATCAATGCCTGAAAAACTTGGTTTGTTCGAAATGTGAAAACATGTACATCGAAAAATCAAAGCCATACTGACATAATTGCCTGTCCCAAGTTTTGTAGTTCACATGGAATTTCTTTGTTGCAAGATATTTTTGAAGTTATTTTGAAGATTCGTTTGTGCCGAGCAAACCAAACAAATGCAACTTGGTGTTCTTGTGGCTCAACGAAAACAAGAAGCTTGAGATTTTGTGTTCTGAAACCCTAAAGTCAGCTTTTTGTACCATTCACAACGACTTGAAAATTAGCGTGTGTGTGTTCATGATTAAACATGAAGGGAAGCTGAACTTTCGTAACGTCCAGCCCATGCCCTAAACCCTGAACCCTAAACTCTAAACCCACCCAGCCCCCAAACCCGCCCACCCATTCAAGCCCAGAAGCTGCAGGTAGGAAGGGGCACACAGGTAGGTAGAGAGGTATAGTTAGGTAGGCAAGTAGGTATGGATAAGTAGATTGGCAGGAGGGAAGGTACTTGTTGGTGTAGGTGGGTCGGCAGGCTTCCAGGTCGGTGGGTAGGTAGATAGATAGCTAGGTAGGCGGGCATGTAGGTAAGGAGGCATTGATCAGGAAAGAGGTTTAAAACCCCTAAACCCCTAACCCCTAAACCCTGAACCCTAAATCCAACACCCGAAACCTTCAACTAAGCCTCAACCCTAAAAGGTAGCAGGCAAAAGTAGTTGTAGGCATTCGTGCAGGCCCTGTCAGGATGTCAGGTGGCCACATCAAGGTCTTCGGAGCCCCGTACAGGGGCGTACCCGCGCCAAGGCCTGAATGGGCCGCGGGATGAACCCCGAATAGGGGTGAGCTTGGACCCCGAAGAGGGGTCGTCGGAGCCCCGTACAGGGGCGTACCCGCACCAAGGCCGAAAGGGCTGCGGGATGAACCCCGAAAAGGGGTGAGCCTGGACCCCGAACAGGGGTCGTGAGAACCCCGTGCAGGGGTGTGGATGAACCCCGAACAGGGGTGAGCTTGGACCCCGAACAGGGGTCGTTAGAGCCCCGCACAGGGGCGTACCGATGAACCCCGAAAAGGGGTGAGCCTGGACCCCGAACAGGGGTCGTGAGAACCCCATGCAGGGGTGTGGATGAACCGCGAACAGGGGTGAGGATGAACCCCGAGCAGGGGTGAGCCGGACCCTCAAAGACTGATGCAGAGAGAGAGAGAGGGAGAGAGAGAGAGACACAGCGAAAATAATTAACGAAGCAAGGAAGGAAGCAAGGAAGGAAGGAAGCAGGGAAGGAAGAAGGAATGATCAAGATGAGGGTGTGACTGTAGATGCGAGGAATGAGCAGGCAGCAAGGAGTGATGTGAGGGAGGCGGGAAGGGAAGGAAGAGAAGGAAAGTCATGCATGGCATCAGTATCCCTCTGCTCACTTTCAGTCTGTCGGCGGCCAGGCTGAGACAGTCTGCGCATCGAGATCCTCGAAGAGCCCCGGCCTAAGCCACACGGCATTCCAAGACTTGACGGCTGCACCATGGGTTGCTTCCAAGCTCAACATGTTGAACTGCAGCAGCTTTTCAGCTCAAGATTCAACGCGATCGAACCGTTTTTGTCTGAGCGAGTGTACTCCGACTGAGGCGATTGTCCTCATGCAAACAAGGCAGTATTATTGACATGCGCATACACGCAGATCGTCAAAGACACGACTAGGAAAGAAGTGCCCCAGTTCGACGTACTGCCACGGAAGTGCAGCAATGGATCGAACGGATTTTGGCAGGCTTCATGGACCTGAAGGAAGTGACGATGACGATCGAACGACTCCTTATCATTCGGATGATAGCGATGGTTCCGCGGCCGATGCCACTACGGAAATGGAAAGAAACATGTTTACGAGAGAAGAATTCCAGCGAATCTGCACCGACCTGGTGCTGGGATGTGTCATGATGAACTTGTCAATGGGATGGCAAATGGAGCGGGCTTTTTTGAGCGATCGGCAACTACGAAGTTTGCTACAGCACTTCCAAACCAAGCACAACAGACGCGGATCCTCTGCAGGTGGTATTGTGGAAGCAGGTGTACAGGAACGGATTCCAACAATGCAGAAAGTACTCATGGTTCGACAATGCGACGTACTCCAAGGAAAGTTGCGAATGGAAGTGAACCCGGTAGATGCAGAGAGATTGCGGGGCTTGGTTGAGCAGCCTCCCGGCTGGGATTGGGATTTGCCTGATCGAGGAACCATGGAAAGGCTTTGCGAGGGCATTCTGGCCAACTCGTTTGAGTTTGAACGGATTCCAGTGACGGATGCTAGACGGATGGCAGTTCAATACTGCGAGGTCATCCGTCCACTGTTCGCTGTGAGATTCCTGTCAATGGTGTTGCTGGGCATGCGGGACACGTACAGAGATCAGCTTTGGTTTCTGCTTCGCAGGCATGGAAGAGTCCTCAACGTATAGACGGACTGTACGTATACGCAGTCTCCGAAAAACTTAAAGGGACTGATGTACGGATACACAGTCTCACAATAAACCAGCAATGGCGAGAAAAAACGTGTCACTTGCTTAACAAATTGCTTGACGCGCCTTACTAAATTGCTGGACCTAAACCCTGAACTCGTCGACCTGAGGTCAAGCCTTCTTCATGCCAAATTCGCTGGCAAGATCGACATTGTGTTTGGAGGCTCGTCCGGCTGCTCATGTTTGCATAAACCCTAAACCCTAAACATCCGGCCGGTACCACTACAAGATTGCGCGCCCGGCACGCGTACGCCTGTGCGCCCGGAGCGCGTTCGCCTCAACTCCCGGCGCGCAGACCTGTGCACGTTGCAAACAGACTAAAGAATTGTATTATCACGTCCGGCACGCCCGGCGTGCACCCGCTGCGCGCCCGGCGCGCGCCCGCTGCACACCCGGCGCGCGCACCCTGGGTATATTTGGTTTTGGGTGGTAATAAACGACCGCCACATGTCATTCCTGCGCGCCCGTCGCAACCCGCTGCGCGCACATGTGTAAATTCTGTTGCAAGCATAATATTATGGAATAGTGTAAATATAGTATAGTACACGCTTACACTTCGCGCGTACGCCTGTACGTGCGGCACGCGCCCGCCCGCGCGCCCAGCGCGCGCGCCCGGCGCGCGCGCCCGGCGCCCGGCGCGCGCGCCGGGCGCGCGCCGGGCGCGCGCGCCCGGCGCGCACCGTTGCAAGCAGAATATTATGGAATAGTGCAAATATACTACACGCGTACACTTGCGACGTATACACCTGTGTGCCCGGCGCGCGCCGGGGCCGGCGCACCGGGCGCGCGCGCCGGCGCGCGCGCCGGCCCGCCCGGCGCGCGCCCGGCCCGAGAGCACGCCTGGTGCACACCGTTGCAAGCAGAATATTAAGGAATAGTGCAAATATACTACACGCGTAGACTTGGCACGTATACACCTGCGCGCCGTGCGCGCGCCCGGCGCGCGCCAGGCGCGCGCCAGGCGCGCGCACTCGGCGCGCGCCGTCGCAAGCATTATTATTATGATTATTATGCTATTGAATGAATTGAATGTTCATTTCAATGAAGCATTCAACTCACATGTACAGCTGCCCTCCCGACGAAAAGAAATACTCGGTATTTATGGTTTTGCGTCAGTTTACCGCCCGCCACGCGTACTCCTGCGCGCCCGTCGCGCGTATGCCTGCACGACCCGCTGCGCACACATCCGTAAATTCATGTCGCAAGCAGAATAATACCCCTAGGCTCCGAATAGGCTATTTACAACCTATAGGCAATAATTAACTATTTATAGGACAATAGTTAATTTTTACCTAGGTCGTTCAAGTGACTCCGTTTACGCCCCTACGGTTTTTCGGGTTGCTTTACGCCCCTTTGTTCCGGAGTTGCGAATTTACGCTCTTTTGGGGTTTCCGTGGTTTTTAAACATTTATTGGGTTTTATCATAATGTCATAGAAGGATCAATCTTAATACCCGAAGTCGGCCCGAACTCCCACCTAAAATCGCCCAGGCTTTGTGCTTCCAAGGCACCTTTGTAGCATCTCCAAACCACATCCGCAGACTCGTAAATCTCAAATGCCCTTAACACCCTTCACACGGATTTTGGAGTGGGGTCTTCAAAGCCTCGAAGCCAGCATCCCAAAGATGGTTTTGCACTACAATTCTGAAGCTATCATAAATCTGGCGGACAGAATTCTTCTATAACAATTGCACATTGTCGGAACATGTCTTCAAGCAAAAGCACCCTCGAAGCGACCATGGCCGAACTGTTTCCACGCCTTCTGGCATTCTGGCACTGCAGCTCAATCTGCTGAGACGATCGAGGCTTGGCCCAAATGGGATGCAAAGCAACTGTGTGTGTGGGCGTGTATGGACTTACATTGGAGGGCTTTCAGGGCTCTATATCAACAGCTCACTTCAGCAATCCCATTTTATCAGCAAGGGCTGCCTGATAACGTCGCAGAACACGTGTATGCGGGTGCTTTGGGGTTACACGACGGCTCAGCCGTGCGATATGGCCAATAAAATCTTCGCACTGTGATGTGCAGTTGCACATCGGGTTGAAAACACGGGCAATTCGGTCGTTCAAACCCGTCGCCCGCAGTTCCACCAGCACGTGATGCAGATAGTGCAGTTTGGGTATGAGGTTGAACAGAAGTTTCTTTTGGGAAACCGACCATTTGACCAAGTTCGCGTAGCAGAGCAAGAATCTATATCCAGCCTCGGCTGCCTCCAGGGCACTGCTTTTAGGCATAAAAGCAGCGGCCGAATGCAAAATCTTCATCGCACACGCAATTGATCTGCAGCCCTCAGCCAGGTATTTCCAGGGTTTTTGAAAAGCATCGACAGGCAGCTTGCCTCGTCTGATTTTGGAAGCGACGGTTTTGAGCGAGGGTTCACAGGGGTTGGGCTTATGGGACGATTTAAGGGCTTATATAGGGGGTAGTTTAGGTCGATTTCAGGGCTTATACAAGGGTAAATGTTTTCTGGTTCGGTTCTGGAAACGATGTAAAACGAGGGTTTTCTATATATGGCTTTTATATTGTCAAGGCTTCTAGCATACTGTTTCCAAACAGTGGAAAGCAGGGGCTCATGGGGTTTAGGAGGTATAATATTAATATCAACAAAACCTGTACAAAGGATAACCAAGCCACCAATCAGCCACTCAACGAAGCCCATCAAAACCACTGAATCTTGGCCTTTGTTCCAGCCCCCAGAAGCATAAACGGTGGGGGTCTTGGCACCAATCATTTCCAGCGAGAGCTTTGGCATGTGAAGCGGGGACTTCGTTTCTTTGACATAGTTCACAAGGTACTGGTTCATCGTAGCCATATTCTCGTCCTGAGAGCTACCGCCACAGAAAGGCAACAGTAGGCAGAGTCCACTCGCCGCGAATTCTTTGTAGGCTCCCATTTGCAAAATGTGAAATAAATCGGGTTTCAAGAAAGACGGCTGGTCCGCGCTGACCGGGATCGATCTCAGGATCGAAGGGGTCTCTGTCCAAGGTACTGGGTTCCGAGCCCCCGAAGTTTGTATCCAGGGAGCCTCTTTGTCAAAACACTCAAAAGCCACGTTTGGGGTTCCTGCTAAACACCACGGGCAGCAGCCCTGTAAAGGCTTCGATTTAGGAGTCTCCTTCCGTTTGCGAACACGACTGAACGACCGTTCTAGGCTAGCAGCCTTGGCATGAAACACCAAGTCGCCTTTCAGGCCTATTGGAACAAACCTCCAAACTTGGCCTCGGTACTCGTAGCCGTTGTCGTACAAGTCCCCAAGCCAGTCCGAAACACAGCCCAGGAGCTCAAGCAGGGGTGTAGGGTCATCACTGTAATGCCTCTTATGGAGACAACTCATCAAATATCGAGTGGCAAGACTATGCCCACTCAGGTTGTAGTCGGCTTCTTCAGCTCCCGAAGGCAGCTTCCGCTTTTGCCCACTCAGCCTGGAGCCACCCCCGATGGCAGATTGAAGCTGCAATACCATGAGTTCAGACTTCTTATAAGTTCTTCCACCATCTCCATGAATATTGATGGGCACCAAAAAAGCAGGATTCAGCTTTCCAGATTGAATATCTGCAGTGACCGGGTGCTCAAACTGCCTTGTGAAGTTCTCCCAGAAATCAGCTAGCACAGCGGCCGAAGCGTCAACCGGAGTCCCAATCACAGTATCAAACTTCCCCAATTCAGCAAGGGCATGAATGATGTCTTTAGGCTTGAAACAGGGGTGCTCGCTGAGACAACCTTCTCCGATCTTCACATAGGACCACGGAATGTTTACAAGCAGCCTCGTTTCCAACAAAGCCCCATACAAACCACGTTCCTCGTTGCCCGCAGAAACAGCCGCCACAGATTTGCCCGTAATACACAGAACATCTCCATCTTTTGCGGAGGCTTTCGCTCTGTTCACGATATCCTTCGCTGGAACCTGGGCGAGCAACGGATCGTCTACTGCATTACAAGGGGTGTTGTTCTTTGGATTTGGTAACCTGGGACGTTGGGAAGGCTTCGTCTCCAGAAGATATTGATGCAACGTTTACAAGGATGTGACTCTGATCTGGCTTTCAAGAGGGAACAGATTTGAAGCTTGCCTTAAGCTTTGTATTGTATGAAAGGTTTCAGTTGTTGGGTTTCGTACAATACCAGCATAGACCTTGTTTTTGCAAGGGCCTCTAACTCCTCGGAATGCAGCTGAAACGGGTTCGTAGCGTCTTTGCTTTAAGATTGGTGGTTCATTGATTGAGCCATACAATACAACTTCCAGTCTTGGATTGTGTATTCCGACACTAGGATTGTAGCTATTAGACACGATTTAGGTTTTGGGGTAATGGTTACTTTGTACTAGGGTTGTAGCTACACATGATAGGGGTTTGGGGGAACTCATTTCCTGATGAGCACTTTCATGACCGAAGTTCTGAATCTGTAAGAACGAATGATCGCCGACTCCCCGATAGCTAGGACCCCAGCACCTTTGCCATAGCTGCGCACGTAGTCGCACGCTTTGTGAGTGGCATCGCGGAAGCAAGCCTCACCTGGCATGCGTATTTGTTTGCACATTACACCAAAAACTTCGAAGTGCTGCCGGATCTGCAGGAATGGCAAAAAGAAGCACGGAGATTTTCCGGTTTGAGCAAAGCCCCGTGCTCGAGTTTGCAAAGACAATCTACTGAGAAGATCATGTCAATGTGACATAAAATCACACCGACGGCGCTTTCAAAACTCTAGAGGCTCAGGCTCACTTCTTGCTGGGTTTTGCCTTGCTTTTCGGCTTCCTTTTGGACTGGGGCTCCTCGGTGCTTGGCGGCGGCTCCTTGCGCTTGATCGACCTGATTGAAAAGCATATAGCATCGGTCTAGCATGCAACCACGTGAACGGACCATAGTAATTTGACTCCCGAAATTACAAACCCAGTAAAGCCACTGAACCCTAGAAACCCTGAGCCCCAAAGCCTTATATACGGGGAGCGGCAATAATACAAACAGTATAAAAAGGATCTACCAGATTCCTCGGGATACTTGTTCTTGATCTCACACGACACCGCCAGAACACACCTCAGCTAGCTGTTGTGACCACATACAAGTTCTGCTGTTGAGGATTTGAAAACGACTTTGAGCAATCTAAGAGCTGCACTGGCGCTTCACGGCTTTGGTCTTTTCCGCCAGCTGCTGCTTCAGCCTTGCTAATTGAGCTGAATCTAGAAACACATATATCCCGAATTTAGGACCAACATCCCGGTATTGCGACAAAGAAACTTGTCATCCATACCGTTCACTTTCACCTCGGCCTGGATTCCGGCAAGATCGTCGTAAAGCGATCCCAGTTTGGAGATGCACTCCTCCATGCTGGCGATGTCCCTGGGCTGCTGGTTTGTGGCAGAAAGCTTCCTGGATCCGCGGCTTGGGTTTGCATTTATGCAACAAAGGGTCCCCGCGTTGCCTTTGTCTTTCTTGAGCTTCGCAACAAGTTTGTCAAGGTTCTTACGGGTCTGAAGGGCATCGTCCATGATCTTAGCCAAGCCCTGGTCCTCCTGCATAGAGTTTCTGAAACCCAGTCACACACAAGTTGTTTAGAACATCCGCAAGCAGTAGCAGGCCTTCTCGATCCCTGGAGCAAGGCCCCCTTGAATCGGAAGTTCTGGAAGCGGCCCGTCGCCCACAGCCCCCGTAACAAACCCTTCGGCACCGGTGGTGTCAGCCATCTTCTTCTCCCGGACAGCATCAATCTCGTTGGTCCCTCGGCTGCCCTCCGTCCGGAAGTCCACCCAGTATTCCTTCTCGTCCTCATCGTACTTGTTGTTCCTGGTAGGGAGAATAAGGTTGATTGTTTTTGGGATAAGGATGATAGGGGGTGTCTGTCAAGCGGGCTTTGATTGGGCTTCTGGGTTTCTTCGGGTGTTATGTGAAGGGAAATTTTCAAGGATTCCGGATATTGGATTGAAGACTATCAGTCATCGGACTTCTTAAAGGAAACATTTCGGGGTACGGTTTGGGGGTTAAGCCCCTGAAGACCCCATACAACCCATGCAATATAGAAGCCCGAATATAATTATATTCCTACGATACACTAGCACGGGTAACATGTTTGCTGTGAGGCACCGAATGATCTCCGAAAAAGCCCTTTGTCAACTTTACCCCAGTTAGCATTATAACACTACAAACAGTTTTATTTCATAACACTCGAGGGATCCCCTGAAGGACTGAAGACAAAGGTACTTACAAACTTGTAACACCCAAACTCCGGCTCCATTGGCTTGGGATGTTTTAAGCTTTTGGGCCTTAGGGTTCCGTGGTAATCCACAGATTGAGGGGCTTATTAAGGATTGCAGAAATGCTCGGTCATTGAAGCAAGCCACCGAACGAAGCCGTGCTTCTCGCAGAAGTCCTTCACCTTCTGCACTTTTTTCCTTAGCTACATAGGAAGCGTGGCTACATAGGAAGCATTCCATTCCTCCACACATGTATAGTATAGTCATTCGTAACTATCGATGCAGCAGAAACACGCACTATAGGCACATCCTCCTTCGCTCACCGGCTTCTTCATGTCCTGCTCCGAGTACCAGCCTCCCCTCGTCTGGACTTTCCTGAACTGCTCCGTCTGGCGCCACGACTCCAGTTTCGTTTGGAACTGCGCCTCACGGCAAGTCTTCTCTGTTACCCTCCCTCCGTCCCTCTCTCTCTGTCTCTCTCTCTCTTTCTCTCTCTCTCTCTCTATGTCTCTCTCTCTGTGTCCCTCTCTCTCTCTCTCTGATTCCGATCCTTGTCGCCGTTGGCCTCGATCATCAACTGCACGAGTTGGGTACGGGTGTACCCCTTGCTTTTCCACTCCGCCAGCAACTGTGGGCTTGCCGTGGTCTTTCCGGTGGTCGGGCTCGGGGTACACATTCGACGGATCTTTGCCTCCATCCTTGCGTAGAGTTTTTTTTCTTCCGGACTTTCACAGTCATCCTCGTCATCGGTAGGCCCGGTAGGCGCAGCACTCTCCTTCGTTTCCGTGCCTGTGCCGTCAGACACAGGGGTAGCAGGGGCTGGGGCCCGCATCGGTGGCAAATCCTTGGGTGCGGGGACCCCGTCACTCAGGGATGTGGCAAGGGAAGTCACAGAGTCCAGCCGCTCCGGCCGCGACTTCACTGATGGATCCTAAGCTTGGAATGGAAAAGGCAGATTAAGCTCAAAGCTGGGAACGATTGAAACACATTTGCTGCTGAAGCACACTGCTCCGGACAGAAGCGGGTGCAAACATACTTGGTGTGCCCGGCTGCGTTCTTTGCAGGTGAGCAATGATCTCGTACAGTTGCTTTTCGCGTGCCTAAGTGATCGATCTGTATCTAATATCATCAACCATCACTACAACACTTGTCTAAAACTGAGACATCAGCAGTCGTTGGGGCTGGCAGAGACTCGAGAGGTGCACCATCCATCATCGCCTGTCATGCACAACGGCTAAGAAGCAATCGGGGCCTCTTAGATATGAAGTGCCCATGCCTCGATGTTCTTAGGTGGGCTGGAAGGGGATCGGCTCGGCGACTTGAACATGATCTCGGGCGGCAGTTGCGAGGAGTCCTCATCAAATTAAAGGGTTGGTCTTCAGCATTGGCCTTTGGTAGACATCAGTATATTTTTCGAAATAAGCTAAAAACAATTTTCTCCAAGAGCTTATAGGGTTAAGGCTTGATTTCTTTGTTGATAACAGAAGTGACCCTTCCCAACTGTGCTGCCACTATAGGGTTGCTTTGCTTCGACTGGATACAAGCCTAGGCCTATAATATATATATGGTATGAAAACAAGTGAATTCAACAACCGATTTGCAAACCATCGTCTCCTGGTGCGCGACAAAGCTGTTGGCATGCCCCATTGCGCTGTGCCCCACGGATGAAGCCTCAAGGTACTATGCGGGATGACAATGGAACGATTGGGCCTGTCTTAATTATCGTGCCGTGTAGTTTCAGGGTCGCTTGGCTTCAGGATATTTGGGAAAGGTTTGTGGGTAGGGGAGGGTCCATGATGGAACCGGGCTTGCTACTCTTGTAAGTCGGGAACTATGTACATAGTTGACACCCCACCCCCGATGCCTAACAAGATACTTATATACCCAAACCCAAGCCCCCTATCGAACCCTGAAGCAAGACTTCTGTTTCGATACCAAAGAGCACCCTAGTCGTCTTAACTAGTAGCAGGGGCCCCGACATATAGCTGACCCGACAACATACCCTATGGACCCTTGAGGTTCTTGGATGGGCTGCGACCGAGAATAAGGCGGGGAGAACAAAGCGGTTGGGTGATTGGGTCATATAGGATATACTGATAACCCCATTTTCGGAAGCAGGTTTAGTTCGGGGACAGCAAAGGAACAACTGCTGTGCTGTATTGTGGGGATCGTCTATATAAGTATTTTAAGGAACATTGGGTTTAGGCTACAGATAGGGTTCATTGTCCAAGCAAGCCAAATATTGAGGAGCACACGGCAGTCTTGGGGATGGAAGGCTTCTGTTCCTGCTCAGGTACACAGCAGACAGAGAGAGAGCGAGAAAGAGAGAAAGGGAGCGAGAGAGAGAGAGAGAGAGAGAAGGGTGCTATTTGAATCCACTCCTTCTACTTCGAAAGAGAGAGGAGGGAGAGAGGGAGAAAGCGTGAGGGAAGGGCATCCTGGATGTCATCCGGTTGGGTCTCCTGGAGGTCATTGTCGAAGGTCTCCTGGATGTCATTCGGTCGGGTCTCCTGACAGAACACCACAATGCTGTCTGCTGCGCGGTATGGGTTTGCTAGGGCTCCTGTGCAGGCTGCAATGCCTGCGTCGAAGCTGGCTCCTTTTGGGTTGGTGGAACACAACACAGGCAATCAGGCAGTGAGTAGTTCGAGGAGCAGACGGTAGGTTCGGCAGCTGCAAACTCCGGTGCCTGGCGGAGACTGAAATTAAGTCACGGGCACCCGAAGTTTGATTTAGAAAACCCAGACACTGTGGCTTCAGTAGCGAGGATCCGGGCCTGGCTGTCATTCTCTTGGGTCTCCTCAGAGATACACTATTTTAGGGCACAGCACCTTGTTGCTTTACTGGCTTCGATGGTTCAGGCCTCCACTTGTGTGGCCTGCAATGTGTCCGGGCGTGGCTCCTGAAGTGCTCCACAAGCAGAACTAGGATCCAGTCGAAGTTTCATGACTTGAGGAGCAGACGGTAGTTCTGGGGAGGGTAGTCTTCGGTGCCTGCAACAGAGACAGAAGCAAGGCGAGAGAGAGAGAGAGAGAGAGAGAGAGAGAGAGAGAGAGCGAGCGAGAGCGAGAGAGAGACATTACCACATTACCATGAACGAATCAAAAGGAAAACCCAGACCGACCAGGCGGCCTCCTTGTCCAATCCGGTCTCCTGATATCAGCATATGTCCGGAATGCATTGGGTTTGTGCTAGGAATCTGGGCTCCTTCATTTGTCCAGGCTGCTTTGCATCCCCGCACGGCTCCTCAAAACTCTTGTAAGCAACAGAAGCCAACTAAGAATGGGAGCCCAAGGCAGGCACCTCTTTGACAGCCGAGCCCATACCCAGCTGTCGCCGAAGGTCCTGGTATATAGATCACCAAAAAAGATCATCATTCGGAACAGAACAGAGTGCACATGAGACTGTCCTCAACCCTCTGTCTCAGTGAATCCACGTCATCAGGTAATGCTTGCTCTTGCTTGATGAAGGCAGCAAACATGTTTTGTGCTCCAGAAGTCAAAGAGCTCCCAGACCACGCTTTGGAAAGGAAGGTTTTAGCCTCCCGTTGCATTTCCACACTTGGGCCCACTCAAAAGCCTGCAGATCCGGACGACGTGGGCACCGAGAGCGGTAAGCTGTGGCCTGCTCCCTGGTCTAGAATTACGGTATAGGGTTTACGGTTTTTTATGGCCTTTCTACGGCTTTCCTACGCTTTTCCTACGCTTTTTTATGTCCCTTTCTGCGTGGGTTTGTTTGGGATTTATGGTCTTTTGGCCTTGGGTTTTATGGCCTTTTGGGGTGGCCGGGTATTTATGGTCCTTTGGGCTGGGTTTTTATGGTCTTTTTGGGGTGCTTAGGTGCGGTACGGATAATTACGCTCCTTTGCCGTGGCCATTTTACGGATTCTTGCGGGATTTTACGCTCTTCTGCGCTTCGGGCCCCGGGTTTTGGAGGAAGTTTATGGTCTTTACGCTTTTTGGGGGTGGTTTCTGGGATTTGGGCGTTGCAGAGATTTACGCTCTTTTGGGCCGTTTTACGCTTTTTCAGGTGCAAACCTGAAAAAAAGCACACCAGGAACAATCACCGCCAAAAGGATTTACAAAACCCAGAAACACAGACCCCCAAAACGGAATATGTTTGACCCCTATATATCGAATCCGTAAAACCAAAGGCCCCAGAAGCCAGCCCAAAACACCCCAAGAACAACAAAAGAGCAACAGCTAAATAATCGGATCTTTCGTTTTGCATCAGGCAGCGAGCAGAATCCGACCTGCCCTCACAAAATCCGGCTTCTGCTTAACTTATAATGGATAGGATCCTGTCCAACATCACTGCACACTCTCCACGAAGGCTAGAACATCTTTGAATGCCGTCATGAGGATTGACATGTGCCAGTGACAAGCACTAACGGCAGGGCACCACAGAATTGTTGCACAAGAATCCCAGGCATCAAGTCCTTGCGAGATCTCCCTGCGAATCATAGCCGGCCCACGAAGTTGGATTCTTTGGGACATGGGTTCGTAGCGCTCTTGTGGATAGGTTGGAAGCCCCATCTCGATAATTTGTAGTTCCTCGTCCCCCTTCAAACCGCCGGACTCCACTGTGCACCTGACCGTTGTCAAGACATCGGCCAACAGTTTAGCAGAGCGAAGGGCACCCTCAGCATAGATGGGGAGAACTGATAGCAAAGCCTGGAGTCCGTGTCGAATGGATTCCAGGGGCCCGGTCACCGCATCGATTTGTTCATCTAGGGTCCGGGTGGACAGGTGTCTCAGAACCTCTTTGGCCCAAAGGACTTTTTCGGGACGGGTGTCGATCATTGCGAGCCGACTATAGAAGTCTGCCGAAGTTCAGCTAGCACCTGAAGAGAAATCGCTGCGACCACTGAACACCGGAACAAAGTGCCGTGTTGGTGTGTAAATGCACATGCATGTATGCCCTTGAATGCACACTCACAGACTCGATCGGTTTTACCTCGATCATATGCAATCACGAAGCTCACTACACTACAGCCTCTTAGGAAGTACTGCTCTCCATTCCTCTGGGATACACAGTGCTTTGCATCCTCGAAGGTAATGTGCGACTGCGATCAAACCGGCATCCTCACAATTATCGCTGTCATCCATTGCTTGGAAAAGCAATATAGCTTGGTTTGGCTTCTTGTCTCCCACAAAGAATTCAGACTTCGGTAGAACAGACTCTCCCAGCTGCATAACCTCGAATGCTCTCCTCGCAAATTGGCGAGTGTAGATCCTTAGAGAAGATTCTAGTCTTGGAAACACAGAAACCTGAACAGAAGATTCTAGTCTTGGAAACACAGAAACCTGAACAGAAAATTCCTAGAAAGCACCCAAATCGGCCGAGAATCCCAGTGTCTGTCAAGTTGCGATTGCCCTCGAAGCACTGCTTCCCCTTCTCGTTGACATACCGCTTTGTAGTCTTGAAGGTAGGATCTTGTAAGCTGCGTTGCAGCTTTCTACTGCTGAAGAAAAGACTAATGACCCTCGAGTTGCTCCAGAGGCTGCTGCGCTTTGGCGTTCTGGAGCCGAACAAAGCCATCCACAGATCCAGACGATAAACCTCGGCTGCATTGGGGTTGGGGTTGGGGTTGGGGCCTTGGGGCCTTGGTCTTGGTGTTGGTGTTGGTGGCGGCGGTGGTGGCGTTGCTAGTAGTGTTGCAGTTGGTTTTGGTGTTGGAGTCTGTTGTTGGCGGTGGTTGTGGTACTGGCATTGTTGGTGGCGGTGCACAACGGCTAATAACGGAGGCCTCGCTCGGATGAGCAGCACAAACTGTTGTTGATTCTTCTATTAGCATTATTACAGTAGCATAGTTTATATATAACATATATAGTAGCGTAGTAGTATAGTAGTTAGCGGTATAAGTAGAGTACTCAGTAGCAGCAGTGGTGGTAGTATAATAGTAGTCGTCGCAGTGGTGGTAGTAGTGGTAGTAGTGGTAGTAGTAGTAGTAGTAGTAGTAGTAGTAGTAGTAGTAGTAGTAGTAGTAGTAGTAGTAGTAGTAGTAGTAGTATAGTACTATAGTAGTATAGTAGTTGTTGTAGTAGTTGTAGTACTCTAGTAGTATAGTATAGTAGTGGTGGATAGTGGTGGTATAGTTCTGACTCCGAAAACCGATGACCCATCTGCGTCCTTAACCTGCGCCCCCACTTGTGCTACTTTCAGAGTCGTCGCAACAGTAATATAGTACTATATCGTATTATCATGAGAGTTTCAATTTTGAAACTCTCATGATAATACGATATAGTACCATATTACTAGCCTAGTTTCGTGGGTTGAGGTGGTTTTCGCTTTAAAGAGGGTCGACCCAGGCTTGTCACACATTGCGGGGTTATTACACCACATAAGAGGGTAGTTTTCAGGAATTTGAACACGTGATATTCGGGCTTCCGGCTTCCGGTTAAGGACTATAAATCACCTGAAGAAAATTTCCGAAGAGAACCTTCACGAAGGCCTCCTATACACCTGGGCCGAAGCTATCCGAACTCAGGAATGGTAGGTCCTAGGCAGCAAGCTTGACCCCCAAGACCAAGCATTCGGTAATGCCAATGGCACAAGTTACCTGTAGTTTGTCCCGAAGCCATTTGAAGCGTTGACTCTGCAAAAGCAAGGATGTTCTGGGCTGCTCGATCACCCACCATTGACCCAAAGCTGCAGCCAGAAGGCATAGAAAGGCCGACCTGAATATTGGACCCCGGAGCATTAAGTTTGAAGTGTAGTTAAGTCAGGGGATCTTTTTCGAACCGGGCCTTGCGGCCATCAGGTTAGCCGTTCTCACCTTCTCGTAGCCTTCAAAGCTTTCGGGATTAGCATATGATCTTCTTGTTGACGGGCGGGAGATAGAAACCCAGGAGCTGCAAAGAACACCAAGCCATACACAGCTATTCGGCCGACCACATAGAACCGCTGAACAGAATGTCCTGGGCTCCAGTAAGACATACTACACTGGTGGCAAGATGTAGCACAGACTCATAAGCTAGTTTCAATGCAAGCCACCCGAATCCAGAGGATTGACATATATCCATGCCCCGGCCATATTTCAAATCACATGCGACCACCTCCTTACCCTCATAATAGAACTCCTTGGAGAGGGTTCCGGATCCACTGAAGAGCTCCGCGAGATCGATATCCTGGCGAATGTGTGGGATTGTATATCGATTGGGGAATTTATGGTGGGTTTATCTGGGAGGTGTGGTAGGTACTTGGGTAGAACCCAGGTTTGCTTGGAATCAGAGTTCCAGGATTTCTTGTGGCACTTATGTGAGAACGAGAGACAGAGAGAGAGAGAGAGAGAGAGACCCTAAACCCTAAACCCTAAACCGAGAGAGAGAGAGAGAGAGAGAGACAGGGTAGTATTGCATTCCAAGCCTAAGTGTGTTTGTGTGCGTGCCAGGGGTGTGCTGCACAACTAGACCTTAGAACAATCAGATTACAGGGTATTAACCGTATAGGTGACGAATGTAATCCAAAACCATGCCCTTATTGTGATTTCTGCTAAGCTAGACCGGAGCCTCAAGGCTGGGGTCCAAACGAGGCATACTTGCAGCACACAATATAACATTGCTATATAGCATCAAGGATTTGCCTAGATCCTGGCAACAAAACCTTGAGACTCCTATCCCGAAACCCTCTATTAACCTCAAACTGTAAAGAATTATCTAGAACACCCCAAGCTAACCCAAGTAGAAGGGCAGCCGTCCTTGTCGAAGTCAATGCTTTCGTTCCATAACAGCAGCAAAATGCAAAGGACGAAAACCTGGGGCAGAGAGGAGTTTCTGATTCTTTGAAGCACCCCAATAATCATGATATGATTGGCCACGAAGAAATGCTAACTTTGTCATATTGTGTATACCCCAAACTCATACAGGTTTATAAGTTAACCTAATGCAGTGAGAAATGCTTCGGATTTCAGCAGGAGGTTTCAACCAGGCTATTGAACCCGAACCACCCGACACTGAACTTCCGAAGCAGCTCTAGAGAAACATAGACCCCACCTCAAAGCCAGGACAATGTATGGAAAGTTGCACCACAACTGAATTGAAAACAATCGAAAAACAATATGAAACCTACAATGCCCGCCCAAAGACCTTGGGTGATCCGAGGCGAATCAAGCTGATCGCCACTTCTTCGAAGCTGCGCTTCACCATGTCAGGAACCGGGGAGGCGAGCCCAGCTACTTTCAGGAATTCAGAACTCTCCGAAACTATCGATCAATCTTAAGTCGACCATCTCAAACTCCCCACTGTCAGTATTGTAGCCCAGACCACAAGAAGCAGCCCTTGGACCAAGTGCAGCATGAGTGTTGCCCGGCGTTGCAAACGATACAAACATGACAAGCTCTTGTATGCAAGCGACACATAAACTAGCGAGGCTGGCTGCTGATTGCCTGCTGGCGCTTTGAAGCAGCTGCACTGAGCAAGCGAGTCTGGGCACTCTTGCGGCGAAAGAAGTTCTTCACCTGGCCACAGGGAGAGTCGTACTTAAGAATTTAGAAGCTTGATTGTATGGTAGAAATCTGGCAGTCCCAAAGCTTCAATCTGCATGCACTGGTCACACAACGACTGTTGCAAGAGTTATTTTGCTTCAGACGGTATCCATAGCCGTGGTCGTGGACTCTGAGCAGAGGCCGCACAGCAGTCACGAATTGTGTAGAAAGCCAGCATGCAGTCTGAAAGCACACAAGCGCTAGCATTGATCGAAGCACCCCTGGCGAGCCCTTAAGGCTCTTCCCCGGTAGCGCATTAATACTACCAGACAGCATGGACCCCAACTGGCCCGTTGCAGCATCATCCTATGGATGCAAATCGAGCGGCCTCGTTTCTAGCAGCTCAAGCAGAAAGCCCGTACACAGGATGAAACTTTTGTGCACTTAAACTGCTTATTGTAGCTAAAATGATATACATCGATCCACTAGGACGAATCAAGGGCCCAGGCTCAGGCTTGCTCGAGCGTCTCTACAAACCTAGCAGCTGCCAAAGAGCAGCTCTTGAACATTGCAACTCGAGTGGAAACTTTCTCATCGTTCGGGATGAACTGCTTCGCAAAATCGAAGAAGTCGGACTGCAAAGGGCCGAGGAGTGTAGGGTTTTTTAGTTTAGTTTAGGGTTTAGGGTTTAGGGTTTATACGGTTTAGGGTATTAGATCTTGTGTACAGATGAAAACAAGAGTTTATGGATGTAAATCTATAGATGATCATTAATACACCAGGAACAAGAGGTAACCCATATAATGTTTCGAGCTCACTGAACCGATCTAAAAACACACATCCCAAAGTAGTTGCCCAACGAAAAATCCGGCCTGAGCGGCCGATTGCGAGCCCGGTTCGAGGTGGGACACGATCACATTCTTGAATGCAAGAATACATCCCTCCCAGAGCTTCTGGGTGTAGTTGTCCCCACGGGGGCGGTAGCGGCGAGCAAAGGTCAAGGGCCACGTATAGCCACTTTGGGTCTGCACTGGCACTGGCACACGCTTGGACTTCGGCTGCGAAGCCACTTCCGCGCATCTCTTGCCACGAACTCGCAAGGCTGGAGCATCGGCAGCTTCAGCTGCTGCATTTCCCTTTTTGGCTTTCTTAGCTTTGCCCGTGGTCTCCGGACACTCGTCTTGCTGATCCTTCTTGCGTCGGCCCCCTTTGTTCATGCCATTGCCCGTCTCGGACTCGGGACACTCGTCTTGCTGATCCTTTCTGGGTCGGCCCCCTTTGTTCTTGCCATTGCCCGTCTCAATCTCCGGACACTCGTCTTGCTGATCCTTCCTGGGTCGGCCCCCTTTGTTCTTCTTGCCCGTCTCGGTCTGCGGACACTCGTCTTGCTGATCCTTCCTGGGTCGGCCCCCTTTCTTCTTCTTGCCCTTCTCCATCTCTGCACTCCCCGAGGCCTCGGCATCAGCAACCTCTGCCTTGGTCTCGTCATCCTGGCCATGGTGCAGCTCGTCAGCGGCATGGGACGTCTTCCGCGCATTACCGCGGCCTCTGCCACGGCCACCCCGGCCTCTCCCACGAGTAGCTTTCTCAGCCTTTTGTGCCTCCTTCTCAGCCGCTCTGGCCTTCTTCTCGTCCTCGTTGGCGCCCTTCACTTGAAGCTGATCGTCGCGACTGGCATAAGTCTTCACCGGCGTGATTTCAGCCACAGGAACACCTCGGGGACTCGGGGTCTCCGTTTCGGCTGGCGGCACCAAAGGCGACGCAACCGGCGACGTAGTGTTCTGGGGGCTCAGGACCAAAGTCTGAAGCTCAGCAAAGGTCTTGGCAGGGGGCGATGGCACGGGCTGGTCCAACCTAGTCAGGACATCTTGCACCGTCTGAGTGTCCATCTCGAAAGGCTGGGTCTCCAAAGCATCCGGATTTGCCGCGGAGGTCGGAAGCAATGCAGCAGACTTGACCGGGGGTGAAGGGTTTGCCTCATCATCTGAATCCACAGCGATCGGTCCTCCGAAATCCACAACTATGCATGACAAATGTCCCTGCATGGACATGATAGGCTGTATCACTGCATGTATGAATCAAAAGAAAAATCTCGGAATTCCTCGTGGCAGGCTCTTGGCAAACTGCTTCACAGCACGCTTCCGCTCTATGGCCATCCTCGAATGCTAAATCGTGAGCTGACGAAATGTTTATGGGTCATGGCATCTCTACTTCACCGTGAAACAAAGCCCAGCTGCAAGCGTTTGGCCTCGAGCTTCAGCTCCGCAATTCTGAGTTGCGCTATCAAGTCTTCCTGGGACGGTGGCCGATCCTGCATCGCATCCTTGGCCTTCTCTTCATCCTCAGTCTCTGCTGGTGCCCCGTCCTGCGGCACCTCGCTGGCCGGGGCCGGAAGCACGACATCTGCTGCCGTGGCCACTGGCTCCTCGACGGCTGCGGGGGCTGGCGGGGGCGCTTCGAAAACCTCGGCCAGTGCCGGTGCAGGGGCACGGCACTGGTCGGAGTCCACATCAAGGGCTCCATCTGGATCATCGGTGTCATCATCGTCCCCTCGAGCTCTGAGAGCCCGCGCTATGCGATCGCCAACAGCCTCAACAGACCACTAAACCTCCAATTAAGAATCTTAAGCTCTAGACTGCACATGCAACATGTTGCTTGAATCTTCAGAAAAGCTTCAGCCCTGAGAGTCTCGTAGGCCCGCTGGAACTCAGCAACCAATGCACGAATCAGTCTGTCCTTATCCACAGACAGACCAAGGAAGCGAGGTTTGCAAACCAAATACACCCACAAACCACATCAAGAAACGCAAACATTCTGGACACAATCGAGATACACGAGGTGTCTGACCCCTCATCCATTTGCGCTTCAAGAAGCTCAGCATGCGTTTCAAGCCCCAGCCGTCCGAATGAGCCACCGCGCCCAAAGAGGCGGCTTCCGGATATCCAGAGTTGCTATGAAACTCCAATGCAGCTGCATGAAGCAGGTAAACTTTGGCTACAAAAATGCACCCTTCGTCACCCATAAGTTTCAGGACGACTTTCAACACCTCGCCATTCAACTTGCAGCACTGAATGTTGCCAAGCACGACTTCGCGGTCTCCATGCCCGGGCTGGTGAATCCCACGCAACAGCGACTGGCCATTCAAAGACCGTTCACGGAAGGCACGGTTGTTTTCCCAGAGGACCGGCAACTGTGCCACCCACTGGAAGTCCCTAGCTTGGAAGCTGCTCGCTGCATCCATTGGATCCCTAGTCTAGGAACACTCGAACACACCTTCCGGATCAAAATTCTGCAGGAATGCAAACAAACTGGCATAGATGCAGTCACCAGCGATCTGCTTTCAAGACTGATTATAATTCCAAGTGCAAAAAGGTGTGCCTGACCCACATTCCAGCTCGTCGGACCAGGAACCGCAGCCCTGGCAAAGGCCATGATTGCCAACAATTATAATACAACCACAACACAAAGGACAGCTCAAACTAGCCAGCTGCACATGCGAAATGTATGGTCTTACAAACCATCATCCACCAGCGACAGCTCGCCCTGCACAAAACAACAGTCCGCACCATTTTGGATTGAAAGCCCTCTGCCCAGCCTTCACCACGCAAGGCGTAAAGTCGAAGCCATCCAACCACTGTCCGCCCTGCCACGGAGGACTGGCGCCCTAATGTTCCCCGGGAGCTCAGAGGCCTCAAACCCAATCTAGCCAGGAAGACCAGGAGGTACAGGGAGCCATCAGCAACCGAGGTTTCACTAGAGTGCACATGCATCTATATAGAACATCCTGCATGCAGAATTCCACGACATTTCGTGCCTAAAATCGGGAAGTCCACGTATCTGCTGATAATCCCAAGCTAGAAGGACACTATACCCCTATGTTGCTGCATCACGAATCTACGAACCCTTTCGAACTGCACTGGGAGCCATCAGCACCACGGCTTCCACAGCTTTGGCCTCAAGGCAGATTATTGGGTTGTTTTCGGGGAGTAGGGATAGGGTTTATGTCAGGGTTTATATATTATAGGGTATATAATATAAGGGCCTAAACACGATTACGGTCATTTACGCACCCTTTTTCGGGAATGGGATATTTACGCACCTTTTGGAAAGGGCCAATAAAAAGGCATACCTTCGACGCCCCAGGTATAATATAAGGGCCTAAACACGATTACGGTCATTTACGCACCCTTTTTCGGGAATGGGATATTTACGCACCTTTTGGAAAGGGCCAATAAAAAGGCATACCTTCGACGCCCCAGGTAACTATTGCCTATAGTTAAAAAATTAACTATGGAATAGTTAAAAATTAACTATTTTTAATGGTTAAAATAAGAGCTCAAGCCCCAAGGTAAACCCTCGAACCCCGGTGCGAACCCTTTTTTTCACGCAGCCGCAAGACGAGAGCTTCAAGGTTTCTTTTGGTAAATCTTACCGTCCTCTGTTCGGACATAACGATTGTGACCGCGATCAGCGAAATCTTTGCAGCGGCCGCAGCCGTGCACGAGACTGCGGCATTTGGAGCAGCCCCACCTGTAAAAGTCCTCAGGCTCACCTTCCCGTGGCACCGCAGCAGGGACGGCAGGCTCGGCATCGGCTGCAGGTGCGGCAGCCAGGGCAGCAGCTGGACGCTTCATGCTGGGCCTTTTCAGTGGAGCCGTTGAGGTCTGCAGGGCTTGAAGACGTTCCTCCTTTGACATGGGCTTGGCCGGGCTTGTAGCAAAGGCAGCTTCCAAAGCCCGTCTGCTTGCATTCTGCATGAAGCTCCCAGACCCCAGAGGCGTGCTGCTGGAACTTGCAGCACTGGGTGCATTCACAAGCCAGGTGGTCAGCAGCTTTGCTGGGCCGCTGCAACTCCAAAAAGTTTTTCTCGATCTCTCGCTCATCCTCCGACGGCATCTGGGGGTCCTCGTTCGCCCCGCATGCAGTCCACGGCTTGGCTGCACCATCCGAGTCTTGCACTTGCAGCTCGGGCTTAATGATCTGAAGCAGACCCAAGATCAACTCCTGCTGATGCTTGATCGCTCTGCTGAAGAAGCTCTTCCTGAGTTGCTCGTTGTCTATAAGGTCTCGCAGCTTCCCCGTCATCATCCGCAATCTGAGCATGAAGTAGCTCAGGGCACTCTGCAACCATTGTTCCCCTAGGGCATGGCTTGGTCGAACTGCTTCGAAGTTGTTCCGGCTGTGGCACGCTTGCAAAGCCTTGAGCAGAAGCGAGTTCGGCAGCAAACCGTTGTGGCACACCTTCAACAGCTGATGCAGCAGGGGCTCTAGACTGCAGAACTGTGCTACATGGGTCGCCAACGCAGTCTTCCATGTCATATCATCTAAGCCTGCGAGGCATCGATCCAACGATCGATGCCGAAGGTTTTCCATACCTTTCTCGATCGCTGTCTCCAGCTTGGAGACAGTGACCTCAGGAAGGACTTTGAGTCTGGTCTTGGAGGCCATGGCGGCCGCCGCTGCCGCCAACCCCCACCAGAACAAAACAGCTCGAACCGAACACTGCAGCAGAGATCGATGTATGAATTTCAACTGTGCGGGACAAGCCTACATATAAAGGATCCTAAACCTTGCACACGATCCTAAACCTAAACTCAGACAGACGCAAGCAAATTTTTCGAATCCGCAACGGGATGTTCACTTGATCTTGGAGTGCAAGAATGCAGAATCCCGCTCTGCAAGCAGAATGTCGTGGCACAGACCTCTAGAGAATTGGGCAACAAAGCGGGTCAGAGCCGCGAGAGGCTTTCGTGCCCGCAGGCATGCCTGCATGAGGATCTTGCCCTTACCCATATAATCCTCGCCGGAGTATGTCCAGACATGGACTGGTGAAATCCAGGCTGCGATCTGGAGAGCATGGACCAGCCAGTGAGACTTAAACGTTAATTGGAACAAGCGTCGCTGCTGCCTCAGGTACTCCTTGGTGAGACGGGTCATGCACTGTAGCATGCTAATTGCAGCAGTCACCAGCTCATCGCACGTCTTGCGGCCTGGGTGCCAGCTGTCGGCTTCCTCACGTAGCTTGCGATCGATCAAAGCACTGAACTGAAGCACCAGCTGCACCAGGACGTGAAGTTCCTTGCTGGCATCCATATGCTCAGTCCAGATTGCTTCGAGGGCTTGCACACAAGCCTGGGTCTCCGCTGCTTTGGCTTTGAGGCAGGGGAACGTTTTCTTGCACATGGGGTCATCCTTGTCTCCAAGGAACATGCCGCGAGTCAGGTTCGTAATGCCCCGCATGGATGTTCCGGACCAGAATGCTCTCATCTGAGCCAGAAGAGAGGCCCTATTATCGTCGAAGCTGCCCGGTAGAATCTCCGCGACCAAAAGCCAAATCACGGATCCACATATCCTTTGATCCACACCCAGATGTTTTGTATGCATCAGATCTGGCACCACCGATTTGGGCGACAGGGTTCTGATCAGCAGTCGGCACGAGTGCTGCCGAGGGATGACCCAGGCATCTTCCTCGATGTTGTCGACACGAAGGAATTGGAACATATCCTTTCGCTGCACGCTGCACAAACCGCATGGTCGCAATGAGTTCCATCTTGGTAACCCGTGGGTGAGGTTGTACCACTCCAAGTCGCCTGTGCAGAACACAGGCACTGCGAAGTAGCTTCGATGTCTGGCAGCGCTTGCCAGCATTCCATCGAAGGAGTCGCAGATCTGTTTCCAGATGGCATCGACCGTGTTGTGTTGCCTCGTCTTGGCCAGGTGATCAGACCACACCGGACAGATCAGGTAGTGCTGCTTTCGGGTCGCCGTCCAGCGGCAGAGCAAAGACCGCCAGCTGATGAAGCAGCAGCTCTTCTGCGAAGCTCCTATTGCCGTGATCGGCACGCCGTCGCCGTGCAGGACCACGGGAACTGCCCTCTTGTCAAAGTTAGGCAAGGCTCTGACGGGGTGCTGCCGTAGGGCAGGATGGTCTCCGCATTCCCGCCAAAACCGTGCCACAGACTCCTCTCCCGGACAGATAGAGGCCGCAAAGGTTTGAGGTCTCTGATCTCTAAGGGTCTCGAAGATGTAATGTGGCTTGAAGAAAGGCAGCTGTCGCTCCCCCATGCTCAGGGGGATGTTCTCCCAGCAAGGCTGAAGAAAGGGTTTCACCGTCCTTCGCTGCAAATCGCGCCAAAGATTGTGGGTCTCTGTTCTGTTTTCCCCCAGCTGCCCCAGCATCTGAAGGTCTGGAGGCGGAGCGGCCCCGGCAGCTGCGAAGTCGTCGCAAGCCCGAACCGCTATGTCCCTCACTTGGGCCAAGCTCAGCTGACCCCAACACTGCTGGTTGTACAAGTGCTCTGCCAGGCTGGATGGTTTCTTGGCAGCAGCATCCCTTGCAGCCGCTCGTTGTCTAACTCCTTGTTTGGAACCTGAACGGAGTGCTTCTACCATGGCCAGGAGGAGGCTTGGTTACTATACCATTACTAACCATTGAAAGCTTCACTGCAGTCCTATTACAAATGCCGCAAACATACAGATTGAGCCGAAACGGCTGCCATCGTTTGGAATTTGGAGGACACGAGGTTTACAACAATCCGTGCCTGGGTGTGGCAGTGCCGCTGCTTTTTCTCAGCCGTTCACCGCTGACCTCCTGCTGCTCTTCACAGTTGCAGCTTTTGATCCTACTCTGCCTCATCAGAAACCTGAGAGAAGCAGCCAAGCACCTTGGTTGTGGCATCTGAGCCCGCCGGCGAGAAGTCCACTCTCAGCCCCGGCGAAAAGTCCGCTCGGAGCCTTAGCAGCCCCTGCCACTTTTCCGGTGTCTTCTCGGCTGGTCTCTCCGACTCCAGGGACAGTGACAAGCTTTCTTTGGCTTCGAGCCTTCGAAACTTGACACGCTTCTCCGGTGTCTCTTCGGCTGCTGTCTTCGCAGTCGCTGGGCCTGGAGCCTTCGCAGGCTTCTTGCTCGCCGTCTTTTCAGATTCGGATGCCGCCGGCCTCTTCATGGCCACGGCCGAGGCTGGAGTTTTTGCAGAGCCGGATGCTGCCGGCCTCTTGATGGGCATGGCCGAGGCTGGAGGCCACTGGAGGCTGGAGCTCGGACGGGCTGTGGCCGACTACCCTGGAGCCGAGAAATGTGCGGCCCGAGCACCAAACCCTATGGTAGTTTAGTCGAAATTACCGCGAAACTACCGCTGAGGGGAATCGAAATTACCACGAAACTACCGCTAAACTACCGCTACCCGAATCGAAATTACCACGAAACTACCGCTAAACTACCGCTACCAGAATCGAAATTACCACGAAACTACCGCTAAACTACCGCTACCAGAATCGAAATTACCACGAAACTACCGCTGCCAGAATCGAAATTACCATGAAACTACCGCTGCCAGAATCGAAAGTACCATGAAACTACCGCTGCCCATAGAGTAATGCTACAGTAGTACAGTAGTAGTAGTGTAGTAATAGTAGTAGTAGTAGTAGTAGTAGTAGTAGTAGTAGTAGTAGTAGTAGTAGTAGTAGTAGTAGTAGTAGTAGCAGTAGTAGTAGTAGTAGTAGTAGTAGGTAGTAGTAGTTGTGGTGAACGGAAACCCAAAGGGGCAGCACGCACCCTCGTTTTCCGTCCAAGCAGAAAGTCCAACGACCGTGACAGGTCGAACGTCCGCCCAGGACGGCCTGCGCGCAATTGCGTCGCGGCAACGAGAAGCTACCAACGACACACTGCCGTGCTCACTTGAGCCAAAAATGTTATGAATACGAATTACAGAAGAGCATGCATAAAAGCATACAGCACAACAGCCAGCCCGCAGACTATGTACAGTTACATTCGCCCCTCAGCCGAGAGCACGATAGAGCCGTAGGATTCCGCGGGCGGCCGGAGGCCGTAAAACTGACCTACAGACCCTGCCCTCCTACAAACCCTTCGCACTCAGCACAAGACCTTCGTTTTTCACGGCCTGTGCTGCACGAGGCTCTGGTTTCCTACTGTACACAGCCTGCGCCGCACTGCGGCCACAGGGCTGGTGAAACGAGCAGCTGAAGCTGCGGCGTTACTCCACGCGCTTCGGGAGCACTACCGTGCCTCCCTAGCCGCTCCCGTCAAAGACCTGTAGAGCGGATACGCCACCCTGTCGTCTCATCGGAAAGCAGCTAGGTGCTGCGACCAAAACTGAAGTTGCCACAGGTGGCTAGAAGGGCGGAGCGCAGTCCGCGACTTCTAGTCCACGGTCACTGCGGCTCCACGTTGGGTTGCGCGGCGGGCTGCTGGACATTTGAGGGTTTTGCCCGCCCGCGGTGGTTCCGCTGAGGTGCTTCGAACTCCTCGAGCTTCAGCGCCTTGGACCACTCGGTGCCAAACGAATCTAGCCACTTTTGGCTAAATTCAGAGGTCAGCACACTGGCGACCGCGATGCCGACCTCCGCGTTGGCCCGTGAACTAGCACTAAAGTTTAGGCTTCCTATCACGGCGCTAACTGTGGAGTCCGGCCTCGTCACGAGCACCGTCTTGGCGTGGTGGATGCCCGCGAGGCCTGCGCCGATGCTCACGTCCGTGCGGTTCTCGGCGGCGTAAGCCGCCTTGACCGAGGTGCCCTTGCCGACACGGACCTGGACGCCAGCCGCCCCTAGCTCCTTGAGGGACTGCAGCTGGAGCTTGGTCCGGCTCGTCTGCGAGTTGTCGGCAAGCACGTGGGCTCGGGCGCCTCGCTCCAGCGAGGACACGAGGGCTCCAACCAAAGGCTTGCTATCGAAGCTGTAGGCTCGCACGTAAACGTGGTCCCCATGCCCAGCGTCCGATAGCATCGTTTGTACCACAGCGTGATACTCCGGAAGGGTCAGAAACTTGACCCCGGCTCGCTCGAAGCCGTCAGGGATCGGGAAGTCTCTGACACGCCGTGCCTGGCTCGACATGGGAGCTGTCGGAGCCGGAGACGCCGCAGAGGTACCCTGGCGGGAAGCCTCCGCTGCAGGCGTCTTCGGAACAGTCTCTGTCGGAGGCGCCGACACTGTGGCCACCTCGTGGCGGCCTCTGAGCTTGGTAAAGCCGTCAAGGCAACCCTCGGACGGGTTCCCGACATTCCGAGCTCTTTCAGAGAGCGATCTCGCTTTCGACACCATGCCGGCAAGGCACCCCTGTTCCAGGGCCGGCGCGCCGAGGATCGCACGGGCGCGTCTAGTCGCGGCCGGGGCGACGGACAGCGTTGGGGCAGCGCTCGCGCCTGTCATGGCCACGAGTTGCCCCGCAGCTTCAACAGCGCGTTCTATGTGACCACAACGTCCCTCGTTGAGGAATGCCTTGCAGTCGCAGCCTGCGCCGTCCGCGCCCGACCCGACCTTCACAAGAACCCTGTGTGCTCCGGCCTTAGTCTTTGATGCAACCTCAAAGACAGCCTCCCGGCCTTCGAGCGACACCAGAACAGCATTCCCAAAGGGGTTACCGTTCATGGCGTGCATTAGCCGGTTAGTGGCGACACGTCCGGCCCACCACAGCACTACGGCCGCGAACGTCCACAGTAGGACGACGGCCGTCAAGCCAACCACGCGGACACCCCGAACGAGGATACCAGAGGATTCCTCGATGAGGTCCTCCGCCGCAGTGGCAACTGCAGTGAGGCTCACGTGTGCCACCTCTCTGGCACCGCGCTCAACAGTGAAGAGGGTAGGCGCCAGCGCAGCGGCCACCAAACCCATCTTCCATCCAATGTTGCCCGTTGTGGCGTGGGCTGCGCGATTGCGCGCTCTCCTGGAGAGAGCCCAGCTGGAGACCGCAGCGCCTATCGAGCGCACGGCCCCAAGGAACCCACCACGGTTCGAGGGCCCGGAAGAGACAGCGGGGCGAGAAGAAACGGCAGGGGCCTCGGGCGCCACTCTGTGGCCACCCGGGCCACGCAGTGGGAGCGTGAGGGCGGGCTGCCCAGCACGCTCGCCGAGTCGGGAGGAGTATGCCAGTCCGGCAGCACCTCCGGCCCACCATCCTCGGTTGCCGTAGCGGTTCGAGCTTCCCCTTCCACCACCTTTGCCACCACCCTTGCTGCCAGAGCTGCGGCCCCCACTGGGTGCACCGCGCCCGGAGGAAGGTTGGCTCCACCAGGCTCGGGCAGAGTCTTGAGAGAGCTCTGCCTGCCTGCGCTTTTCAGCGCGGAGCCTCTTCCGTCCGGAGCGGAGGAATTTCCTCGCATGCTCCGCAAGGGGATCGGCGTTGATGGAACGCTCGATCCGTTCCATCTTCGTGCCCTCGCTCTCTTCCGACGAAGAAGCAGCTTCATCGTCGCCTTCCTGGGGCGGCATGCCGTGGGTTATGAACGACGCGCCCGACTTAGGGCCACTGCACTTAAAGCACAGTTTGCGCCATAACATGTTCCTCTCTTGGCATGTGTCCCGCCCACAGGTCCAGTAGGCGTTGGACATTGCGGCGGCGATCGCGTCCGAACGCTTCGCATAAAGGTACTCCTTTATGCGTTCCTTATGTTCATCGAGCCAGACCTCGATGAACCACGCCGGCGCCGTTCGCAGGTCCACCGGCGTGCTCCAGTACAGGCTGTCCTCGAAGATCCCCACACAGGGGGCACCTCCGAGCTCCTCGGAATCATGGTGCCGGCAGGTATTGCGTTCTGGTGGGTTCGCACGCCCACAAGTAAAGCAATCCCACCAGCCCCAAGGCCAGACCTTGCCTGTGAGGAGCGGAACGCGCTCGGGTGTCGGTCCAAGCTCGTTTTCATCGTAATCGGGCCAGATTTCAAACACTGGCCTGTTCGACAAAATCGCAGCCTGGTAGACGAACGCGCGCCTCCGGCGCCGCGCCAACGCGAGGAGCTGCTCGAGCGTATGCTCACCACCGCCTCGGAAGAATTCCCTGATCTGTTCATCATGTTGGAGATCAAGGGGGACCGTGAGCCTGGGATCCACGTCGCGGGCGCCGGGCCTTCCAGGCCCCGGCGGTGGAGTCGCATCCCAGTCCACGTCGCGCCAATCGGCCCCGGGAACCTCGTTCGAGAGTCCGTAAACCCCCGAAACTCGGTGTTGGGGAGCCGGCGACTCCATGGTATCCTGCCATGTTGTGAATCGCTTCTTGGGCGGCGGCGGTCCCTCCGGCTCCGCGGGTCGCCGCTTGTCTGTGCTCGACGGAGCAGCGGCCCCGCTGGCACCTTCTTCGGCACCTGCCTCGCCACTAGACGAGGGAGCCGCGCCTGTCCCGGCCGCGGCTCCTGCAGGGCCGGCTGGTGCCGAGGGCGCTTCTTCCTTCTTGGTGGTGGCCCGCTTGGCCGCGGGGCCTTGACGCTCAGAGCCGCTCTCCTCAACGGCGCGCTTGAGGGAGGAGAGGGACTTAGCCTCTGCTGTCTCCTTTTCCTCCTTGGTCACTGCAGGAAGGCGGGTGTCGCGCCGTGCCTCAGGAGCCGCAGCCGCGGCCTCCTGGGCCGAAGCAGCAAGCTCCTCCTTGGCGCGTGCCGCCGCTCTTTCCCGTGCCAAGCCTGCCTTCATAGACTCCGCGAGGCTAGGGATCCGGACCTCCGGACTCCCTGCCTCAGCTGGGGGAGTCACGTTGGCCGCAGGCGCTGCAGAGGAGGAAGACGCCTCCTGAGAGGCATCCGGAGGAGCAGGAGCCATCTCCTGATCCTCGGAATGCGTCGCCGAAGATGGCGGAGCTTTCTTCTTAGGGCTGGAAGCCTGAGGCTCCGCACCCCATCGTGGATCAGGCGGGGTTCCAGTCCTCTGGACACCCCCCTTCTCTCGAGGGAGCAGATCCGTTTCCAGCATAGGGGGATCTATCTCCAGTTGGGTGTCAGTCTGCTTTGCGATAGGGTTCAAGACACCCGCGGCGAGCTTTTCTTCTCTGAGCCCATCGTGGGCGTTCCAGATAAGGTCTGAAAAGGTTTCCCTCATCGCTTGGACGTGCTCCCTCGGGGTATCTTCCCGGGGAGCGTCCACGTCCGGATCTTGGGGCTCCAAAAGCTCGTCGGGGAACGCCGGAGGCGGCGGTTCAACATCTTCGGGAACCTCTCCGGATCTCCCCTGCTCTTCGCGAATCGCCTCCAACGCTTCGCCCAGCGGGGTCTCGTCCCTAAAC